CCCCCGTCGGACTGTTTTAAACACCTAGCCCAAAGGGATCCTATACAAGGTTAGATCATGTCACACTGTTCAGAAGTCCAATATTTTCTCATCTCGCTTCGAGTAAAAGCCTGCTCCTTTGCCTTTCTGACCTCACCTCTTGGTATGCAGCCCTTCCTTACTATACTCCAGTGTCCTATAGTTTCTGGAATGGTCAGGCATGCTTCCAAGGGGCTCTGGCATTTGCTGTTCATGCAGCCTGGTCACCCCTACCCAGATTTTCACACGGCCCCCTCTCTCACCTCCTTCAGGAGAACCTTGCTTGGTCTCCCTTCAATATTCCCTATCTCTCATCCCTCCATCTAAATACTACATTTCCCCCTGCTAAATACTACATTTTGTTTATTGTTTATCTCCCTCCTCTAGAACATGAGCTTCCTGAGGTGTGGATCTTTGCTTTGTCCATTGCCTGACACAATGACTGATTTCTGGTAAACACAGGGGTCTCTGCCTTAAACTTTCCTTTCTCTAGCCCCACCAGAAGCCCACAGAACCACCTTCTGAGAAAGAGTAGGGAAAATATAGTTACTGGAAAGCCAGTTTCCCTAAAAGAGAGTGAGTAGTGACAGGGTTTCCTAGCATTTGAGCAACTTGTTTTTATAAAGAACTATCATCTTATGAAGTGAATCACCAGAGGATTTGATCACTGAGCTATAAATCTCCTGCACCACCACTCCCTGTCCCTATAGATGTAATCCAGGGTCATTGTGGTAGTAATAGGAAATTGCCAAACCATGTAATTTCTCTCCCGCAGTTCAAAGGAAAAACTACGGATAAAAAGGAAAGGCAGAAGAAGAAAAGGAGACACTTGAAATGTCTGTTCTTGTTTATCTTTCCTTCATTTTCATTGTTTTTTCTCCTTCTGACCTAGAATAAAATGAACCAGAAAATATTACAGAAAATCAAGAAAACAGGCGGTCAGTAGAGCGTCCCACTTGGTCAAAGAGGTGTTGGGGGCGCCTGGGTGGCTCAGTTGGTTAAGCGACTGCCTTCGGCTCAGGTCATGATCCTGGAGTCCCGGGATCGAGTCCCGCATCGGGCTCCCTGCTCAGCGGGGAGTCCGCTTCTCCCCCTGACCCTCGTCCCTCTCATGCTCTCTATCTCTCATTCTCTCTCTCTCAAATAAATAAAAATCTTTAAAAAAAAAAAAGAGGTGTTGGCATTCTGGTGTGACAAATGAGCTTAGTATCAGGGAAAGCAATAGTTAGTGCTTGTAAATATAAAATGTTTTAAGATGTAAACATAATAAAACGTTCTCCAAAAAGTTAAAAAAAAAAGGAAAAGGAAAATTACTTATAATCCCACCACCACAGCAGAAAAGCTACCACTTTGTTCTATTCTTTTCCAATTTTTTCTTATATGCATATACTTTGTCATTGTGGTAAAAAAAAAAAAACCACAGCATAAAATTTACCATATTAACCATTTTTTAAGCATATAGTACAGTAGTGTTACACATTTTTTATACATGTTATACTTGCACTTTTTGTAACCCGATTTTTTTTCTCACTTTATCTTATATCCAATAAATCTTCCATGTGGCAAATCCGTCTGCATGCTTGTAATTTTAAAGATGCATACTGTTCTACTTCATGACTAAAACATATTTTAGTCAGCCATTCCCCTATAATTGGACATTTATGTTGCTTATAATTTTTTACTCTTACAAATATGAGCTTTCAGTGCATATAGTATTTTTCTCTTTAGTATTTACAGTGATCTTCCTATGATGATTTTCTAGAACTTTTCTAAGGAAAATGAAGTCAAAAGCGATGATTATTGCATGGTTCTTAAAAATGACAATAAATTTGCTTTCCAATAAGTTTGTACCAATTTACAACAATGCCAATGAAATATGAAAGCAGCAATTTCACCACACTCTCACCAACATTTGATACTTTTTATTTTGTTAACTTAATATTTTTAAATGTTTCTCATGCTAATATATATTTTTTCCTATATCAATTTTCCTTGATTATTTCCTCTGTTGGGAAATAACAATTCATGTCCCTTGTGCAGTTTACTTTTTTTTAAAAACATATTTTTAATTTGAATAGATGTTACCATGTTGCTTTTATTTTTATTTTTTATTTTTAAAGATTTTATTTATTTGACAGAGAGAGACATAGCGAGAGAGGGAACACAAACAGGGGGAGTGGGAGAGGGAGAAGCAGGCCTCCCGCAGAGCAGGGAGCCCTATGCCGGGCTAGATCCCAGGACCCTGGGACCAGACCTGAGCCAAAGGCAGATGCTTAACGACTGGGCCACCCAGGCGCCCCTGCAGTTTACTTTTGAGAGGCTGTTGTTCTTATTCCTTTTCATGGGCTGTATATATAGCAGAGATTTTAACCCTTTATCATAGCTATTGTGAATATTTTTTCCCCATCGCTTTGTAATTTCTGGGCATGCTCTCATCTAAAGTACATTAACATTTTTTAAAAAATATTTTATTTATTTATCTGACAGAGAGAAACACAGTGAGAGAGGGAACACAAGTAGGGGGAGGGGAAGAGGGAGAAGCGGGCTTCCCATTGAGCAGAGAGCCCAATGAGGGGCTCGATCCCAGAACCCTGGGATCATGACCTGAGCCAAAGGCAGACGCTTAACAACTGAGCCACCCAGGCACCCCAGGACTTGAACATTCTAGTACAGTTCAGATCTTTCCAATGTGATATCTCCTGTCACATGCTGTCTTAGAAAATTCTATGATGTCTTAATGCCAGGGTTTTAATAAAGAATTTAATTCTGTTTTATTTCCCTGATTTTATTTTCTGTATCTAATTATTTAATCCGTTCATTTTGATGTGTAATAGGTAGGTCAATTGACCTGTTCCTTAAATGCTTGCTAGTTAACCAAGACTCCTTCTTTAAATATATTTTAAGAGACCCCTGAATGAAGTAAGAGAGTAGGCCTATGGCTATATGAAGAGTTCTCGTGCGCTGGGACTTGGATCCAGGTTCTGTGGGGAGCGAAGTAGAAGGTACAGCCCCAGAGGACTTAGGGGGTGGTGTGGCTCCGTGGGAACGGCAGAGTGGCGATACCCAGAATGCACGATGGGACTGCACCTAAATGTCCGCTGTGCTTTCACCCTACCCTTTCCCTTCCTAACCAGCGCTGGAGAATGAAAGCACTTCTGAAAATTCAAGACCACTTGACCCAGAGGTTTTCCTATCTTGCTAGAGTCCTTATGTTTCCAGGAATTGAGGGCTCTCAGTCGACCTATTGCAATAAATTTGCGGGCGCGCGCGCGTGCGCGCACGCGCGTGTGTGTAGGGCTGTACTAGGAACACCGTGTACCTGTGTGGTTTGCAAAAGTAATAGCTCCGGGGCAACCATGAGTGAGGTAGCATGATGACAAGGATAAATGAGAGATGAGAAGATAAATCTAGGCGGACAACCTAATGTAGAGATGGCTCAGCTGTGTAGCCCTGATGGTATAGGGGTATGGCACTGTCTCTAGAAACGGGTGCTCCCACCCTCAGTCCTCCCCGCTGCCTGGCACCTCAGCCCTCTGTTCGGTCGGTCGAAGCCCCTGATCCCACAGACAAGATCGTCCACTTATTTTCCTGCCCCCACGCCAGGCAATCAAGTTCATTCAAGACGCGTCTCAGAGCTGTTGCCAGGGTCTTAAACCCTGGCGGAGAGCCACGTGCGCTGGACTGAGAGCCCGAAGTGCCCGCCCCCATCCCCTGCCTCTGCCCACGAGCCTCAAGACTTAAGCGACCACAGTCGGAAGGCACGTCCGACCTCCTGGTGCTGGTTCCCACCCTCCCATCTAGGTTCGCGGTTCTTTCTTTCGGGGCTCGCCGTAAGTATGCAGACCACAAACCCGAAACCGCTCGTTTTTTCTTTGCTGGGACCAAGTACGATACTGCTTGACTTTGTATCTTTTCACTGGTAGGCAGGTGGAGGGGAACGCTCCAATACCTCTACCCTGTCCCCAGTTTCGCATTAAGGCGCGCAGAGCATCTTGTCACTTTAATCTTGAAAAAGAAAAAGCATCTGAGGTTCAGATCCTGTCAACAGTGACGTCCACCGTGGCAGATTCGCTCTCAGGACAACCTCCTCCTCCCCACCCCACACGGAGGGAATTCACCCTCGGGGCCGCCCCGCCTCGCTCTCTCCCACCGCCCTGCGGCGCCCGTGGGAAGAAGGACACATGTTCCCCGCAGACGGGCCCTGGGGTGCCGCGGCTCTCAGGGTGCGCAGCGGGACCCGGCAAAGCTGGCCCTCCGGCCCCTGGCCTGCGCCTGGGGGGCAGGGGAGCCGCGGGTCGAGGAAGGAGTGAGAGTGGCGCCTGGGTGACCGATCGTCCGAAGAAAGTCCCGAGGAAGTGTGACCCCTGCGCTAGGGAGAGGCGAGGCGGGTCCGCAGGAAGATGCCGAGATGGGACCGGGAAACAACACCCCCCTCGCCCCGCCCAAGCCACCCACTTGTGTCTCTCAGCCTGAGTTCCCCGAGAGCGGCCGAAGGACCCCAAAGGCTGTGCTGCGTTTCCTTGATCCCCTAGCCGCCCCAGCGTCACCTCTCTTGTGGGGGCTTCGCGTTCCCTCCCGGGTTTCGGAGCCACCACGTGACTTCCACGAAGCGCAGGGGCCAGCGGAAAGCCGCGGCAGGGGTGGGATTTGGGACCCCGAGGTGCGCCGAGGGGGCGGGGAGAGGAGGAAACGGGGCGGGAGTGAGAGAAGGAGGGGCGGGCAGACTCGGGGACGCGCAGGCCCGCGGGCCGGGGCCGGGGGTGGGGAAACCCGGGCAGCGCTGCGGCAGCACGCGCCGGGAGAGCGGGAAGCCCGAGGGGGCGGGGCGGAGGGCGGTGGCCGGCAGGTGCGGGGGCGCGAGGATGCGGGTGACCGGAGAGTGCCGGTAAGGCAGTGCCCCGCGTGCAGGGCGCGGCGGGCCGCGCGGCCGCTCCTCCGCGAGGCTGCGCGGCGGGGCGGGCCGAGCCGGAGGAGCGCCCGGCATGTCGCAAGTGCTCCCGGCGGCCGGCAGCGTCCTGCAGAGGAGCGTCGCGGCGCCAGGGAACCAGCCGCAGCCGCAGGTAGTGGACTAGAGGCTCAGGGAGGCCCGCGGGCATGCGGGGATGGGAGCGCCGAGGGGCACGAGGAGGTGGGTCTGGGGCTCCGGGGTGGTGAACTCTGAGTGCTTGGGTGAGGGGAGCTGCGGGAGCCAGAGACCGGCAGGAGTGGGGGCGCGGGGTGGGTCCGGGGACCCCGCGGGCGCCTCTGCTCGGTGGTCCCCAGCTCACGCACAGTGCCCGCCGCGTCCGGAACGGTGACCCGGCTTCTGCGCCCCGGGAAGCGGAGAGACCGGAGGGTGCAGACGCCCAGGCACCGTCCACGCTTCCCCGCACGTGGGATCCGCGCTGGCCCGGGGTCGCCATCCTGGCGCTGGCGCCCGCTGCCACCCCACCGCCGGCACGCGTGGCCCTTCCCGGGCGCCAGGGTGCGCAGAGGGGAAATTCGGCCCGGAGGAGCAGCTCGTGTCCAGGCACTCCCAACGTCTACCGTCCGATTGGGGAACTCGGGACCCATCAGCCTAAGGGTGCGGGGTGGGGGCCCGCAGTGGGAGGACTCCAGCCCCGCTGCTGGTGGAAACCCCTCGGCCCGCATTCAGCCCTCCGTGCTGTCCTCGGCAATATTTACAACTGCGTACTCAGGAAAGTGAAATAAAGTTGCCTGCGGGGATGGCCATCAGAGAACTTCCCACTCTGCTGCTCTGTACAGTCTTCATCGTTATGCCCCCCCCTTCCCAATTCGATGCCTGGCACATAGTGTCATCAGGTGACGCTAGAGAGTCACACATTTCTGAGTTTGGACCTCGGTTTGACCACACACAGGCTGAGTGGCCTTGGGCATTTTGCTTAACTTCTTTGAGCCTCAATTTCCCAACCTGTAAAATGAATAATAACTTCTCGAGATTTTTTATGAGGACTAATTAAGATATAGTTAATAATTTATGACTATCTTAACACTTAGCTCCCCTCTTTCTGTTTTGATTAAATGTTACTACTGGGTTATCAGGTGTGATAGGTGATAAATCCAGTTTACAGGGTCTGCTCCCAGAGAGCAGGATGCAGGTTGCTTCCTTGGGCTCTATGACTTTTTGATTGTGAACAAAAAGGCATGATTTGGTGACAATCACTATGGGAGACTCAAAAAATAGCAACCTCCACAGAGGTTACTAAGGGTATACCATGTGCTGGGAGGTTTAGGATAAAATCTTATTTTATCATATGCTAGTCTCAAGCATTAGGCTGTTAGAATGATTTCTGCAGTGATTACGGATCAGTTGTTCAGGGCATGCGTCTCCAGTGCCTAAAATAGTGCTTGGCACATGGCAGGTACTCAGTTAATACTTATTGAAAGAATGAATGACTCACACTTTAACGGTAAATGAGAATATTGAACATTCAGAGAATTTAAGCCATTTTCCCCAGGCTATATTGACAGTAAGAGACAAAACCAGTGGCTATGTATTTCTAAAGCTAAAGTTCTGTCCTGTACACCACATTTTGCCCCTGTGGTGTTCTGTTTATGTTAACCAAGGCTTCTTTGCCTCTAAAAAACTACATTTTAACACCTTGTGCCTGTTCCCTTAAGCATTTCTTCCAGACCACATCAATTTGTTATATTATTTATATATATGTTATTTATCTGTCTCCTTCTATAGGCTTATATTCTTCCACATACTGAAAATTCTTTACCCACTGGAACTTGGGGAGAAGATAAGTGTCTCTCATATTTGGAATACAAGGCCAGATAAAATAACTGAAATTACCCATTATTTTATATTATCAATATTTGCTTTCCATTAATGTTAATAATTGAGTAGCTTTCCTGTGTTTGTATCCTACTAACCTCTTAGGAGGTAGTATACCCCCTCCCCGCCCCTTTGGTACCTTCTCACAGCGTTCTGGAAAGCAAATACTCTCTACTTCTCCATGTTTTTTTCTATAACTGAAGTGTTTTTACCTTGGTAGGTGCATTTTTTTTTAGCCTGCCTGTTTCAGGATAACTCTTGAAGGATTTGACTAGGTTTGGTTAAATCTCATATAGAGCTGAGAGCTTTCAAGACACATCATCAGTTTGCTTTCTAATTCACTCCGACCTGGGAAACAAAATGTCCATCAAGCGTTGTTCAAACGAAGTGGTGTTTAAGATCATTTGGTGTGTTGGTAGAGTTGTGTGGTTGTAATTAGTTACCAGTGTAAAATTTGTATTCAGTATCAAAAGTACCTGTTTGTGTGTGGTGGTGTAAGGCCTGGCACACAGCAGGTTCCAGAGAGCACATGCCTTCTGCCTTCCCTGTTCTCAGATGGATGTTGACACTGCACCTCTTCCAGGCACACACCCTGTGGGGTAGAGGTTTATGAACGTTGGTTTGGAGTCCCAACAGACCTGAGTTCCACTTCCCATTTACCCACTTACTAGCTGTGATACCTGGAGCAAGTTCCTTACCCCCTCTGAGTTTCTTATCCTCATCTTTTAAATGGCAGTCACACCACACATTTCTCAGGGGGGTCATGGGATGAACAGCTAAACTCAGCCACGGCACATGGCTGAACAAGGGGCTACTGCTGTCCCACCCTTGTAGCAACAAGCACTGCCGGGGCTGCAAATGAAACAGGACAGAGGCGGGTGAAGCAAGGCGCCCCGACAGCGCACCTAACCAGACTTTAACCCCCAGAGCCCAGAGGATGATGACCGGAAGGTCCGAAGGAGAGAAAAAAACCGAGTTGCTGCTCAGAGAAGTCGGAAGAAGCAGACCCAGAAGGCTGACAAACTCCACGAGGTGAGCCTGTGGTTGGGACAGAGCCACATTAGGGCCGCGGAAGGGAGCCAGCCTCCGCCCTCACACTGTGGTGGTGGCCCTAAGGTCATGTCCCGGTCACCACCAGTTTGGACACGTACGTCTCATTTCACTGCGTCCTTCCAGCCCAGTATTCTGATTCTTCACTGACACCTTTCTCCCTCATCCGCTGGTTGTTCTCACTCTTAAGTTCCTTTCAATATAAATCAAAACAAAATGAAACAAAACCTCCTCTTGATCCCATTTTCCTTTTCAAGCTACTGTCCCATTTATTTTCTTTCCTTCCTCCCTTCCCTGCTCCTTCCAGAGAGACCCTCTGTCTCCATGGGCTCGGTGCTATTTTTTCCCCAGTCTTCTGTGCTAGCGTTTCTGCCGCCCCTCCCCACCCAGCACGCACGCACACGCGCGCGCACGCACACCACCCTACGCAGGCGCCCACGTGCGCGCGCGCGCTCACACAGACCTTCGTACAGAAGCTGCTCCCGCGGAGGTCCCTAGTGCCTTGGCACTGCCTGATCCAGGGGCTTCTTTCTGGACTCATCAACCGTGACCTTCCTGGAACATTTGACACCGTTGACCCTACCCCTTCTCTGAGACCTTCTTTCAAGGTCTTTAGCTTCTAAGAGACCGCATTTCCCACTTGACCCTACTAACCACCTTTCTTCTCAGTTTCTTTGCTACCTTCTCTTCCTCTGTCAGTTCTCTTAAGTGTTGATGTTGGCCACGCTTTCAGACCCTGCCCTTTTTCCTTCCCACCCTGGAAGATATGATCTGTTAATCTGTTCTTCCAGCGTTAGGTCCCCACGTTGATTGCTCCAGGCAAGACCTCAGTTCCAGACCCCCGAACCTGTATCTCCAGTGTCTGCTTAGATGTCTCCAGATGGGTCTGCTGCAGGCTGCTTGGATGCAACGTGACCGTGATATGTGTGTTTACCCTGAGACTCTCTCTTCTCACTGTCTTAAAGTTGAGTTAATGGACCTAACTACCTTTCTCATCACCCACATCAGGAACCTGGGGTTTATCCTGAACTCTTCCATTTTCCTCTTCCCTTATGCATAATCCCACATAATCTCACAGCCAGGACATGGGATTTGCCCTATCAGGGCATCCAAGCATCTGTGCAAAGAATTGGTGATGGTTCTGAACTCTCACCTTTAGACAGGGTTGGTGTGAATAATTGAGGGCTTTAATTTAGCCCTTCCCTGCCTGCTCTCTTGTCATAGCTTGTCTTAGCAAGGTGAGTCTGGGGGCATTGACAGCATAGCAGATACCGAGGTGTTATGAGGGGGGAGAACGATCTCTGAAAACCTTTTCACAGTGAACTGAGAACAGATTTAGGATGCACGTACTCCAGGGAGAGGTGACCCACTGATAGAAATTCACAGTGGGCATAAATTACAAATATCAGACTCTTTCCTGGAAATAGGAAGGCTGGGCCCTAAAAAGAGATAAGATCCTCAGGTGAGGATCAGAGAAGGTCCTTCCCAGCCTGGAATGGTTCTGTAAACTTTCCACAGAAGAGGTGGGATGTCCTTTGCCTCCTTTCTTCCTTCCCCCTTGCTCCTGAAGCAGTCCTGGTTCTAGCTTCATGTTACCAGATAACCCCAGAAGGCACTTGTGGCTCAATTAGCGCATGGCCCTGCGTTCAGACCCCGTGTGCCAGCTGGACAGCCAGGGTCCTTCCCCTCAAGAAGCTTCTCGTCTGAGCCAGGTGCATTAATATAAGAAAACACTAGGGGACACTCAGTTGTAAGTCCCAAGTGATTATGTCCGTGGTGGTGGCTAAATGACATCGACAAGACCTTCCATGGAGCAAGGGTGAGTAGATTCATTCCACAAATATTTGTTAGCACCACCATGGGCAAGGTCTTGCTGCTGGGTCACAGAAAGGAGTAAGATCTCATTCCTATTTTTTGGAAGCATAAGAGTTTTCAAGGAAAGTGTATTCTTTTCCTATGGACTCTGTTATAAATTATGACAAATATGACAACACAGATTTATTATCTTACAATTTTGGAAGTCAGGTGTCTGGACTGGGTCTCATGAAGCTAAAATTAAGGTGTCAAGAGGGCTGCATTCTTTCCAGAGGCTCCGGAGAAGAATCCATTTCCTTGCCTTTTCTGGCTTCTGGAGGCTTCTGTATTCCCTGGCTTGTGGTCCCCTTCCATCTTCAAAGCCAGCACTGGCTAGTTAAGTCTTTTTCATACTGCATTACTCTGACACTGTTGTGTTGTTACATCTCCTCTGACTCTTGACTTCTTCTTTCATTAAGGACCCTTGTGATTACATTGGGTCCACCTGCATAATCCAGGATAATCTTCCCAACGTTCAGATTCTTAATCACATCTGCAAGGTCTTTTTTGCCACATAAGGTAACATAGTCACAGATTCCAGAGGTTGGATGTAGACATCTTTGGGACATGTTTGGGAGGCCCTTATTCTGCCTACCTCAGAAGGTAACATAAATACTACAGTGTCAAAGAAGATGGGTTTCTCTCAGTATCTGTCATTGTTGGATTTGATACCCAAATGAGCCAGATGCCTGGGAAAGTTAGGGGTGGTACCACATTTACTCCTGCCCAATCCCGCTTAGAACCATGGTGGGGTGCCCTTCTGTAGGGTTCCTAGCTTCTTCTGCTGTCTATACACTATGGCACATGACCAATTAGCCAGGTGCTCTTTTGGGAAATGGGACTAATTGATCTGAAACCCAGTCCCTCCATGGGAGAACACTCCCTTCTCTGACTCTATGGAGCCAGAAGACTAGTTCAGGTTTACCCACCGCTGGCAGATGACTTCATCAAGGCATGTCTTGTTGAGAAACATAGTGTTCAGGAGGCCAGGACAGTGGCTCCAACCATATACAGACCCCAAAGCTGTAGCCCATATCTTTACTGTCCCTAGCTACATACTAGTGTTAATGGTCACAAGGGGAGGTGGGGGAGCAGGTGGCTGGCTCAGGAAAATGGAAATGCATCCCAATCCTGAGATAGAACAGGAATGTCCCCTCTGGGCCGAAGGGTAGCACACGAATAATAGCTCAGCTGTTAATTCCTCACCTCCTTCCAGGGAGGGCATCCCAGTTATGGGGATCTATGTTCTGCAGGGCCAACATAGGAAAAAAAAAAAGGTAAAATATAGTAAAAAAAATGAGTATTTTTTTTTAACTTTGAAAAAATATCTGCATATTGAGGGTGGGGTATCTCGTTTAAAAATGTGGTGAAGAATTGTTTTACTGTGCTCCAAGGAGTGAGTTGAGGGCAGAGCCCCTAGCACACTGCTCTGGGTCATGGCAGAAAAGCCCGTCAGGCCCCCTTGGGCTCCAGGCCACATCAAGGATGGGGCAAGCGAGGACCAGACACAGTTCTCAGAAAACTCCTCCAACCTGGGATCAGGCCTGCTCTCTCAGAGACTCTAAAGGGTGCAGAAAGCTGCCACCTCGTAGCCAGGGCCGCCACCACTCCCTGGAGCTTAGCCCATGAGAAGGGCTATACTCAGTCCTTTCTCCATCCCATCCTGTGGGGTAGCATTGCTGCATATCTCAAAAGAATCCAAGATCTTTATTTGCCTATCTTACATACCACGAAGGGGACTATTTAGAGCTTGTTTAGAATTCCCACCTTTCTCTCCTGCCCACCTCGTTCACTCACCTTGAGCCTCCCTTACCTCCAGCACCCTGAGAAATCTCCTCCAGTGCTAGCTCCTAGAAGCCTCTGGGCCACCTCCTGCCCCTCCCAGTTCTCCATGGGGGGGGAGGGGAACAGTCCATCGGGGCGGGGCCTCCCTGGAGGGCAGGGCCCGGAGAGCCTGAGAGAGGCTGGGGTCACTCATCAATCTGAGATTTCCCCTCAGAGAGGTGGTTGCTGGAAGCCTGAACGTTGTGCCGAGAAGCTGTTCCTAACGTGTATCTTTGTACCTCAGCGCTCATGGTGGCTTTTCAAATCATCCTGTCGAGACGCTTACACCTTTCATGGGGATTTCAGCCCCTATTCATCTCTGAACATTAGGCACACGCCTGAGTCCACATCCACAAATAGGGACGTGCGTGAACAGTCCAGCTCTCTACAGCAGGCTGAAAGGTGTCTCAGAAGTGGGTCAGACTGGTTCGAGCCAGGCAGCCCAAGGTGTAAGACTGAGAAAGAACATTGAGTCAGAAAAGGAAGGCAGTGATGCCATCCTCAGGAACCCCAAATGTCACCAACTGACAGATTTCTTGGGCAATTCGGTTGTGGTCTGTGTTGTCACGGCTTCTTCAGATGTTGCATGTTCTAAGAGAATGCTTCATGTCACCCGCCCTTGGTTCAGAAACTGGTGATGACACCAATTTGTACAGCCCGTCCTGATGACACAATTTTTCTGCTGGGAATGAGATCAGAGTAGGGCTTGGGAATAGGCTTTATTGTAAAATCCTGAGTGCTTACAGCCCTTTACTGCTGGTAACCACTGCGGGGAAGTTTGGGGCCAGGCACTGCCAAGTGAAAGCAGAATTACATCCTTGCTCAAGGGTTGCAGTTGACCTTGAAATCGGGTTCCAAGCCCGCACGACCTTGGAAAAGTCACTGCGCCTCTCAGAGCTTCACTTTCTTTGCTTGTGAAATGGGGTCTGTGTGTGGCTGTGCCCTCCTGATGGCCTTTTCCACCCCCTCATTTCCTTTCTTCCTTCGCTCTCATCTCCGGCCCCGGGGACCCACAATAGCTCATTTGCCGGTTTTTCATCCTGGACCCTGGATACCCCCAGACAGCCCCTCATTCCACAGTCAACCTCTCTTAGATGCCCAGACCAGGGTTTCTTAACTTTGGCACTGTTGACATTTGGGGCCAGATAATTCCTTGTTTGGGGGGCACTGTGCTTTGTAGGATGTTTTTCACATATGTCAAGTCCAGGTACCTTCGTCTCGGTGTGAAGTGGGTCTTACTCTTTCCCCTTTCATCCCCGCGTCCTCTCACCTCCTCTCCACCTGCTCCAGCTACTCCTTTTATTTTTGTTGAGCTGGCCTCACCGGAAGATCTTGACTTCTTCTCTCCTTTTTATTCCCTCAGCTCCATGAAAGGCCCTTAGCAGGTTTATGAGTAAAAGTCAAATCCCAGAAGAGAAAGTCCCCACAGAGAAGGCAGACGAGGGGCCTGCTGGACTGGGGTTTGGGGGAAGCAGTGGTACCTCAGGAAGACGTTAGGCAGTGTGGCCCCTTATGGCTTTCGGAGATAAAGCTCAGAAGCTCACGGCATCCTGCCACAAAATTCAATAAATATAGAAGGGCAAACAAGCTAATATAGAAATAGAATATTCTGCCACAGCAAGAGACTTTCCTGTCTTTTGGAATCTAGTTAAAATGTTAGCTCATTGAAACCTATTGGTTGAGAGGACGCGGGGATGGACCATTGGAACATCTATTCTCCATTTTACTGGGAGGTGAAGAGCATTTCTAGTCGCGCGGTGGAGCGCGCGTGCGTGTACACGCGCTCCGCAGAGCTGCAGCCGGTCATCCCGCTGCTGCAGGCAGCCTTCCTGCGATGACTGTCCCTGTCTTCCCATTCACACCCTCCCCTGGCCCACGGAGGGCTTGTTGCTGCGCTGTAGGTGGAATTCGGGCTCCAGGACTAGAGCTTGTCGGAGGCCAGAGGACAGTGTGAGGAGTTGGGGTTGGCAGGAGGGCTGAAGGCGGAATGGAGCCCATGAGCTAGTGAAGCCAGCCTGACCCGGGACAGCCTGTGGGGAGGGGGGTGGGGAAGGGTGCAGCTTGCTGCCTTGGCGAGTATTCCAGACCATTCTGAGCGCCTGCCTGGGGAGGGCTCAGATGGCCTCTGTGTGCAGCCCCTCTGATGCCTAGAGGTGGGGAGGGAAGGAAGCGGTTGAGAGAAGGAGGCAGAGGAGTCACTGGGCAGTGGCCCATCAGGCGCGGCTACAGGAGACGGTAGAAGAGGCCCCTAGGTGCTATACATTTCTGATCTTTGGGGAGCGATCTTATTTAGTATAAGTAAGATTGAATAGGATACAAGATTGAATAGAACACATAATGAGGGATGTGGTTCCATTAGGTGCTGTGATCAGGGAAGCCTTCCTGGAGGTGGTGTGCTTGAGCTGGGCTCACACAGAAAAGGAGGAAGGTAGTCCAGGGGAAGAGAATAGCATTAGCAAAGGGGCAGAGTTGAGAATTTGCATGTGCTTTAGAGGCCTGCAAAAAGATCAGACTTTTTTAGTGATATTTTAAAAAATTTACTAGTCAGAGAAAAGATGTGTTGGATAGTAATAAGGTTGAGTCACCACCTCAGGAAATGCATGGTAAACAAAACTGCAGCAAGATTTAAATAAGATTGTCAGCTTTGAGATGGTCTCTATTGGAATGCCCTAGGGCTCTGCCATTGGCCAAGTGTTGTAGAACTTATCAATGACTTGGAGGAAGAAAAGGAAGACCTACTTATCAAGTTAATGGACAGCTTACAGCTGTGTAGTATCATGATCCGTGATCTGACACGTTAAGATTCAGGAAGATTTTGCTAGGCTGGAAGATGCCCAAGTGAACAGAGTGAAAGTCAGGAGAAGTGGATGTAGAGCCCACACTTAATCTTCAGAACATCAGTCATCATCCAAATATAGACAGAGAAGCAGCAGAGGTGAACAAAACTTGCACTTCTCTGCAAGCTCAGGGAGACTCCCCAGGGTGAGGTGGCTGCAGGTGTGGGTCCAGCCCCAGGGCAGGCCACCTCCATACCTCTCCCTGTGCATGGTCAAGCCATCCCCAGAATCATGCACTGCCCTTTGGGAATGACACTTTTTCAGAGAGATCCCGGCAGATGGGAGTGTGTGTCGGGATGACCTCCAGGAGGGCAGAAGGACCAGAAGTCTTAAAACCCAAGGAACTCAGGAGGCCTGAGACAGTTGAGCTCAGAGAATACCTAAGGGGAAGTGGTATGGGGCTGTCTCCTAATATTTCAAGAACTGCAATGTTGAAAAAGTATTGAATTTACTCTGTGTGGTTCCATAAGGTGGAACCAAGCCCAATAGGTGGGTTTGAAGGAGCAAGAGATTTTGTATCAGTGCAAAGAGGAGTTTTCTGATAGAGCAGCTCAGAGATGGCAGGGACTGTCCTTTGAAGAAGAGAGTGCCCAGCACATGTTGGATATCTGTTTTCTGCATTGTGGGTTGGGCTGAGGGGTCTCTATGAGCCCCTCCAGGTGTAAGCCTCTGAAAACTTGGATATAGTGGGAATTTCACAGATGAGTGTTGGGGCGAAGCCAAGGCAAGGGATACTTTCATTCATTTACTCATGCTGTCAGCAAAACGTATTATGTTCCAGGCGCTGTTCCAGGTGCTGGGGCCACAGCAGTGACCCCAACAGAGATCTTCAGAGAGCCACTCAGCAGTTGGGGGAGGGGAGGCGGGCTGCACAGGGGTACGAGGGAACTTTTAGGAGTGACTGGAATGTTCTCTTGATCCGCGTTGGTTGACATTTGCCAAAACTCACTGAATGAGACCCATAGAACCGGTGTATTTTACTTGATGTAAATCGTATCTCAGTCAGGTTGATTCAAAAAGCACAGCCCTGCCCTCTTGGACCTTTCATCCTGGTGGGAGGAGAGCAAAACAAAGCAAGCAAAGTGATGGAAGGGGGCGCAATTAGGGAGGAAGTCCCGCCCCGGGAAGGGAATGTGGTTGCAGCCACCAGTTCACGAATTCTGCGTCTCCGTCCAGGAGTACGAGTGCCTGGAGCAAGAGAACACTGTGCTGCGGAGAGAGATCGGGAAGCTGACGGAGGAGCTCAAGCACCTGAGCGAGGCACTGAAGGAGCACGAGAAGATGTGCCCGCTGCTGTGCCCCATGAACTTTGTGCCGGTGCCACGGCCGGACCCTGTGGCTGGCTGCCTGCCCCGATGAAGCCCAAGGATCGTCCTCCTCTGCCGACGGAGGAGCCTTGGTCTTTTTCACACCTGGGCGAGGGGGGGAGGAGGGTTCCCTCCGCATCTGTGTGCAGGGGGACCGGGGGCCAGGTCACCTCCTCGGAGCTCCTGGCCGTGTCCTCAGTGGACGGCTCCGCAGGACGCTCCCGCGGGCGCCTCTCAGAGCCCTGAGTGGATCCGGGCAGGGAGGCCACCCTCAGGAGTCACCTCAATTCGCTTTGGCAGCTAGTAGGTTCCGTGTTGTGCAGAATTATTTCCTCTAGAATTTGGATAATAAAGATGGTTATGGTCTCTCCTTTTGCCAAGTTCTTGGAATTTGGAAATACAATACGTTTCCTAGTCCTGGAGCGGTCGTCACCTTGTCTCCTCAGGCTGTTTTGTGGCTCCTGGGTCTTGCTTTCTCCTCCTGGTCATCGTCTCCGAGGCCGTAACTGTGTTCGATGCAAGAGGCACCTTTGCGGGCCTACAGAGCAAAGGCCAGGGGGACTTCTTGCCACCCCAGCTGGGTCACCAAGGGATAGTCGTGGCTGGGCATGACTCGTGCTTGTCTTCTGTTTTGGGTAGCCCTCCGTCTCAGTCAACACCCTCGCCCATGCTGGACTCTCATGAGAACTGTTCTATTCCAGGCTGGTTTTCCTCTCTGCTCTGTACACTCCTGGGCCACCTCCCCATTCCATAAGTAGGCATAGGATCAGAGGACAATTTCACTTTATGTTAGCATGAGTCACAACAGAATGGGGAAATCTGTCCCCTAGTTTAAAAGAAAAACAAATATTTTGGCAGATGAGGAGAGCAATTTCCTTTCAAAAGTCCCGTCTAACTATTATTTCAGGAAAAGCAGAACCAAGACAAGTCAAAGGTGGCCCCAGCGAGAAAAGCAAAATGGCAGAGGACTCCCCAACCTCTTCCAATTCTCTTTTCCCCTGGACCAAGGGAGTTGTGGAAGGTGGAGCCATGCCATCACAAAAGGCACAAGAAATGGGAACAGAAGGAAGATGCTTTGTTATAAATGTGATGTTGAAAAAGAAGAAAGTAAGAAAAGAAAGAGGACCCAGCCCATCCCAGGGGTGACCAACTTGCTGACTTCATACAAGTATTCATAGTGGCTACTCCTCGCGAGCCTTCCTTTTCTTGGGGAAATGTCCCCCGCCCCGCCCCCCCCCCCCCGCCGGCTTTTTGGAGGTCTGCGGGTCTTTTGTAACTCACATGGGCTGAAGGCTGCAAGGTTTCCCTGGTCAGAGGCATTGGAAGTCTGCCATTAGAGACCCAGGCTGCTGTAGAACCAGGCTGAAGCTTCCTGAATACAGCTGTTTCAGGGAAAAGGTGGCATTTCTTACTAAGAGAGACTTGATAAATCATCCAGCCTGATGCATTCACTTTGCAGACAAGGGGCTCCGACGTGGTGGGGGAAAGGCCTTGCCCAAGGTCCCCCGTGAGCAAGGAGCAGAACCAGGGTGGAACCCCAGAGGGTCTGACGTGACTCCTGACCCACCGAAGAGCTGATAGCATCAGGCTGAAGCCATGTCACAGGAGGTGACTTAAGACAGGACCTGGGGTCTATACATGGCATGACCTTCTGTCAGAACCTCACAAGGCTGGCCAGGACCACCACAGTTCAGGTGACCAGCCCATTCACGAGGGGCAGACTCAGAGCCAGGGTCCCAGGGGCTGATGTGGCTGTGAGTACGAACACGTCAAGTGTGTGCCTTGTACCTGCAGGTGTTTTGAAGCTGCCGTCTTTCAACTCCAGCACCTTCTGTCCCTGTAGGGAGCACCTTCTGTTCTGGCTGGGTCTCAGCCTGATCCCGCAGTACTTCTGTCCGTCCTGACTCGCATAGTCCTCGGCGGTACTGCCCGCTGATCTGCTGTGACCCCTTCTGGCACTCCCTTGCTCCACTGTTAACCCCGGGCTCTCTGTGCCTGCTAGCCTCCCTGGTCTGAGTCCTCTGGCTCCACACGATAATTCAAAGACTATCTCCTTCCATTTAGTTGCTCTGTGCCCCTAAGGCCTTGGGGTCCCCTGGTTCTTCTACTCTGGCCAGGAGACTTGGGACAAGGGGCCCAGGGAGGATGGTGGGGAGCAGATCTATCTCAGAAGTGATAGTATACCATTTCCGCCCACAGTTTGTGGCCAGCCCTCAGTCACACGGCCTCGCTGAGCTATCAGGGACATTGGGGATTGAAATTCAGCCATGTGCTCAGTCGGGGACAAATCGGATTTGGGGACTATCTGTCAGTCTCTGCCAGAAGAAGATCCAGTTTTTGCTCCCACCCCCTCACTGAAACTGCCCACTTGCAGGTCCCCAGTAAGCTCTGGCTGCCAAATCTAATGGCCGTGTCTCAGGTCTTCTCTTCCTTTCATCCCTCAAATTAAGACGCTAGCTTCTGCATTTCTTTCTCTCTACCTGCCGCTTCACAGTATAAAGGAACTCCTCTTCTTGGGGCCTCCATCTCCATCTATCCCTAAACTGTTAATTCCCACATCCATACCCAGAACAAGGGGGGCTATATTCAGCTGCCCTTGCCTCCGAGGATGTCGCACAAACGTATCCCACTCAACACGTTCACAGCTGTACTCATGATCTCATCGTCTTCCCTTCAAAGATGATTCTTGATCTGTTTTCACCTGTTGAATAAAGGGCTCTGTCCCCCACCTGGCATCATAGTTTCATAGTTGGAAGCACTGTGTCACCAGCATAATTCGCCAAGCCCTTCAGTTGTGCCTCCTTAGTAGCCCCAGATCCAGTCACTTCGCTCCGATGGGCTAATTGCTTTACCTGCTAACAAGGCCTTGATACCAACTAGCTGCTAAACACGGGGGCCTTCCCCCCCTGAGCTGTGTGTTCACTGAGGTGGGGCTGCCTCCACTTCTGATGTCAGAGCAGTAAATGTGTAGTCAAGGAACCCAAACTAGGGAAGTCCAGGGAAATGAGTCATGGCGCCCCAAGTCCCCTCCAGGATAACTGGTAATTGTGAGAAGAGTTCTGAAAACCAAATGTTCACTGAGCTTGGCTGCTAAGAATGTCCTTATCAACCTCCTAGTACCATCAGGGGCATCTCAGCTCCCCAGCTCCTACTCCGAAGAAGCAAAAATTCTGTATAAACTTGAGGAACTATTGTATTATTCCAGGAGGGACAAGGGAAGTCGATAAGTTGCTGGGGTTTAGACTTACTTGGTTGTATTCACACTGCTGTTGTGTGCACGGCCTGGCACCCCACATCTGAACTGAGTCTCCGAGTGACTGTGTGTTGGGCTGGGTGGGGGGAAGGGATGCAGGCTGAGAAAGGCCCCTTCAGCATAGAAAGTGTCAGAGGGAGGAAACCCTTCCTTCACACCCACGCGGCCACACCACTTCCTGTCCGCAATCCCTCCCTGTGTTGCAGCAGCCCAGCCTTGAAGCCTGGGGTTTCCAGCACTGAATCAGGCCCCAGTTTGGGCCCCAAACCTTGGTTGAGAATGATGACACTAACAGACAGGAAAGCGAGAGACCCAAAAGCCCCTCTCTTCTTTCCCATCAACGCTAAGGTTTCCATAGTTCCGGGTGTACTTACCAGGGCTGCGGGTTCTGTCCTAGCAGGAGCTAGAAGACAAGGGGTGGCCCTGAATCTCACGGACACGTCTTCCCTCCCATGATATCCAGGAAGTCCTGGCAGGGTCATCCATGCCACAGCAAGAAGGCTTGTAAACGAAAGCCGGTGAGCAGAAAGGAGAATGGAGAGGAGAAAGGGGAGAGGAAGGAAGGGAAGGAGAAAAAGAGGGAGAAGGAAAGAAGGAAGGAGGATGGGGAGAGGGGGATGGGGATCCTGAGGCTCCTGATCCTGAGCCTCCCTGCTCCTGGGCAAGTGGTGCCGAATCCCCAGGGGGATGTGCTGCTGGAAGCCCCCTAATAATGACATGTAACTCGAGCGGGCGGGGGGAGAGTGGAGCTGGCCAAGGCCAGAGTGTCTGCAGACCACTCCATGCTTGGAGTCAAGGGAACTTCCCTGCATTGCCCATTTGGAAACGGACCTCCTTGATGAGATCGCCCCCATTTACCTATTTGGGACCAAAGGAGATCAATGAGTTCGCTTCCCCCACCATGGGCATCATCACCTAACGTTAGCATGACCCACACTGAAAGTCTGTACTTAGCAGGTGCCGACGCTCTTGGTGTGACATGCTTGAAGAACTCGTGTCCTAAATCTGGAGCCATGTTCAGGGCAGACTCTGGCCCTGGAGGCAGCTCACCTGCTCTTTGGGTGTTCTAGCGTGACCTTTTCGGGTCCAATATTCTTGAGAAGATCAGAAATGTCATCGAAGATCAGACCAAAGGCCACTAGCCCAGAATTCTGACCATGATGCTGAGGAAAGTGCGAGGGACAGTCCAGTGTTTGCATTCAAGACACCATCCTGAAAGGCCAGAGGTGGAAACGGAACTTCCCTGATTTCCCTAAAAAACCTGCTACGTATCTATCCATCCATTATCAAGACCCTTCTTGAACTGGTTTAAGTTCTCAGTTGGCCTAGTGCGGGGCATCAGCCTCTATTCTGCTCTGAGGCCACCTTCTGCTCTGTCTCAATCTCTGGTCCCTCATTTGTAGACAAAGCAAGGGTCCTTGCCCAGGGCCTGGAAAGTGGCACTGTTCCCGAGCATCCCGGCATTCATGGAGTTCCTTGCAATCTTTCCTCTAGACCAGCAGCAAGACAAAAAAGTACCTTCCCAAATGTCACAAACCCACAGAAGGCTCAATTTGCCAGGCAGTACTTTCTGAAATTGAGAAAGTAAGAGAGTTGGAGAAACACTAGTGGGGGCCAGCGTCCTGAGGTAAAAGAATGGAAAGAACCAGTGAATGTACCTTGCAGTAGTTCTCGAACTATTGCACTGAATTTGCTAATTATTAATGATTATTAAACTTTATTAGTAATTAATTAATTACTCTAATAACCGATTGTACCCAACCAATACATTTATTTATAGAAGTAATAAAATACTTATT